TCTTTATTTAAAATCTGTTTTGTAAGCGTTAAGTTTTTGTGTAATGATCGTTATTGATAATAACTGTTACAATAAGGCAAATAACTTATTTAAAACTAAGAAAATATAAGTCAAACGTATACTTAACCAAACTTATGGCCAGCAAAGGGAACCATGGCCTCTATGTTCCATTTTAGTAAATGACGAGAGTGAAAATGCTAATGTCGGTCACTGTAATTTGGGTCACAAAATCTGAGGATCTGATGTGTGACCTTTATTACTTTTGGTGAATTGTGTGACCCAAATTTCTTCTTATGAGTTTTCAATGTCCAGAATTAATTTTTTGGTAACCCACAATATAATTCAAAATTATTTCCGTTTACTTTCTTTACTTGACCTATTCTGATGATGGGCGGGATTATACAACCATGTGGGCGGCAAGAATTTGGCTCTGAGGTTTGCGAGAAAATTACGAACCTCGCCTAGTGTTATGTGACCAGTTATTAGCAGATGATAATAATGAAAAGGTGACACTTTTATAATAAAGGATAGCACAAGTTTTGTTTAATACATAGAAGTTCCCCATTTATGTGTTTTAGTCACTGTGTAATGTCAGTCACGTTACCTGCATTACGTGTAATGCCAGTCACATGACCTACATTACTTGTAATTTGGGTCACTCTTAAAATGGTGGGTCACAAGGTGTTTGTTGGCATATAAATAAAATCACTAACTTTAATGGTAATTTTTAAGTTAAAAATTATACTTTTCAGTATATTGTTTAAAGAAACAAATATTGCAGCCTATAATTTGTATTGTGAGTAAGACAAAGAATATAGAAGGATCCTGAAATCATTACTGCAATTTTTTCAGAGTTTTATTTGGGTTTTTTTACATCTTGTATGTTTATAGCAACCACATTTCTCACACTTTGGTATTATTGGGTATCTAAAAAACGATTTGAATCATAATTTGCATAATTCATTGTAGATATCCTTGTCAAAGCTTAGGATTGTTTGTGGCCCAGATTACACATAAGCCAGAGGTAGAATTTCTCTTCTAGCAAAAATAAATGTTATTAATTAATTTTAGAGATAATAAGATCAGTTTTATGAACTACAAAGGCTAAACATTAGAAAAAAATAGACCTAATTACTATTGGTGAGTATTAATTTTCTCGGATATAGGGGACAGCAATTGTCCTGTTTTCAAGTTTTTACCCATTAAATTACTCACAATTTAAGAATAAAATTGTGATTATAGGCCTAACACATTGAGAGATATGCCTCTTCAAGGTTCCTAAAATCTTCCATGAATGCTTGTAATTTTAAGTTTTAAGCTCTTCAATTTGGCCAAATTTTATAAAAAAAACCATAATAAGAAATTAACAAATTATTCATTTCAACAACAGATTATAAGTTTTTTTTTATGGAAGAAATCTATTGTAATTAAAATGTTAATACTATCAAGAGGAATTGATAGAAAAAATGAAGAGGCAACAGTGAAAACAGTGTTAACTTTGCTGTCGTTCTGCCATGCTACATATTACTTTTATACTTTTATTTATACTTTTATTTTATACTTTTATGCCAAGTTTTCGCATCTGTACCTGCAGGATATGTTGAAATCAGTATCAAGATGAAATTCAATAAACACCAGCTATTTACCACCAACGGGTTCTTCACCATTGTGCGTTCTGAAAAGTTCTAGACGGGTGTTTGGACGGACATGACTATAGAGCAGGTGCTCTTTGCTTAATGAAAAGCTATGTAGTATTTCAAAAGAAGTATTTGCAATGTTATTTTCTGATTTTAAAATTGATTTTCTCCCGTATTATGTCATGTTTTGCAATATAACATTCCATTACGAAATCAGTGGAAATCCTTTTATCACAGTAACTCTTACAATTATTTCTTATTGAACTATCTTATATCTATTTTACGAGTTGGTGTCTGCCATTTTCACACTTTTCCCTATATTTTATCATATTATTCTAGACTGATCATCATTCCGTTCATGAGATTATTGTCATACATGTTCTCAATCGATCGAAAAATCTTCAATTGTGTAATACAATACAAAATAATACAAGTGCAGAAGGGCACGGTGCCCATTTGAGCTGTGTCCATATTTTGTTAAATTGATAGAAGTTTACAGCAACTGGATAAAATATTTTACAATATTTATGTAGGAATATGTGTAGGATTTAGAAAGTCATTAATACTGCAATATACTGCACACTTATCAGAGAGGTTACCTCGATTTATTCATTCAGCTTAGTGAAAACATAATATAGATATGTATACAAATAAGAACTTGAACTCTTAGAGAGCCTTTGAATGTTATTAGACTAACAAAAAGGGTTGTGCATGTTTACAAGCGCTACTCAGCAACAAAAACCATTGAATTTATCTCTAAAATATATATATTTAAAGTACACTGAGCAGCGGTCTAAAAAAAATGTATGTAAAACTTATGTAAAGCTCTCTAGCCTCTACTCCTCTGTTGTAGAGGTAAAAGAAACTTACGAAAATTTTACCAAAAAAATTTTACTTCAAAGGAGGAAGATTTAGCTTAGAGTAGAATATTCGGTAGATGGAGGACCTCTAGGACCCATATAGTTACAAAATGCTCAAACTCGCATTGTGAGATTTATAATTCGGCTTATATTTCTCCAACAGAAAATTCATCTGCAGAATAATTTTATTGTGCTCTTACCGTGTCTAACATCCAAACACAGAAACCTTGCCTAAAATGGTACCTATCTTGACAAATTATTTACAGTGGCCTATTACTGACCGTGGCCCACTGGGTTGGTAACATTATTGAAAATAACACAACATTTTGGCTGTAAAAAATGGCCCAATGAGTAAATACTATTTAAGCAGCTACTGTCACGACAGAAAGGTCATATTCCTTTTAAACTAGATCACATCATCCTTTATAAGATACGTTGATTAACAATGCATGTAAACGTCAATATTTACGTGACAGCCAATTTACATTATTTTTGCTTTTTGGAAATGCCTCATTGCTATGTCATTTGCATTATTTGTTGCCAATGAAGCCGCACGACCATATAAATGAGGAGGCCCCTAACAGTTCAAGAATAAAAGCCAACTTTACTTCAAGTATATTCCACTACACCTAACATTCCGTAGAGAGATTATATTGACAACTTTATGTATTTGATAAGGCTGAGACAACTAACTGACATCAGGCCCGTTTTTGACCCTGTCAGCGCCCTAGGCGCAACTAATAGTAGCGCCCCTTTGCAATATATATATATAAGGGTGTCCACCGACCGGGAAATCCGGGAATCATGCGGGAATTTTATGAACTGGGAATTATGTGTGAATTTTGTATTTCTACCTGGAGTTTTCAAATTAACGTGATCGCGCATGACAACAGTTTCCGTGACCGCGGGAGACGATAATAATGTCTACACTCGGCGAGATATTCAGAATATTGCCACGATCACGGAAGACGATGATAATGTCCACACGACCGCGCGAAACAGCAAGAATTTTACCGCGATCGCGGAAGACGATTATGATCTCCACACAACTACGGAACATGATTAACATTTTGCTGCAATCGCGGGAGACGATTGCCATGTATACACGACCGCGGGAGACGGCTACGATGTCTACAGGACCGCTGGAGATACAATAATGATTTACACGGCCGCGAGGGATGATCATAATATTGCCGCGATCACGGAAGGCGATGATAATGGCCACACGATCTCGGGAAAAGCTCAGTACTTGGCCTAATTTGCGGAAGAGGATGATGATCTCCACAAGACCGAGGGAGATGATTACCATTTTTTTACAATCGTGGGAGGCGATTAATATGTTCAAACGACCGCAGGGGACAATATAATGATGTCTTCACGGCCGCGAGGGGTGGTCAGAATTTTACTGCGATCGCACAAGACGAAGATAATGTCCTTACGACCGCAGGAAAAGATCCGAATTTTGCCTCATTGGCGGTAGACGATGATAATCTCCTCACGACCGCGGGATATGCTCATATATTGCTTCGATCATGGAAGACGATAATTATGTCTAAACGACCTGACCGCTGAAAATAGTAAGAATCTCGCCGCAAACACGGGAGACGATTACGATGTCTACACGGCGGCGAGGGATTATTAGAAAGTTTACCGCAATCGCATGCAAACAACCACCAATTTTTTTTATTTTCCAAATTTTTGGCGCCCCCCAAAAAAGCCAATTGCCTCGCGCCCTAGGCACGTGCCTACCGTGCCTATTCGGTAAATCGGCCCTGACTGACATCCCCTATGTCTAGGAATTCCAGCTTTAACAGTAACCTCACAACCAATTTCTCAAAACTGTGCTAGAGGGTTATTCATTGGCACAGAAGTACGATATGAACTGACGCGACGTGACGAAGGAAAAATCAAACTTACACTGTAACGTATATACAACCTCCCTTGGAAGTTGTGTCTTCCCAACAGATATTTTTTTTCCAAATAAAATCATAGATTAATTTGCATTACACTGATGAAATCACGAAAGTGTTTAACTTCAAAAGATCCACCAATGCGATTTTAATACTATTTAACACTATTCGTGCTATCGACATGTTTGAACATAAAAGTTGCATTTATTTCAATGTTAAGCAATTGCGGGAATTCCCGTCATCAGCACCCAACGTGTTAAAGGTTCTTCCATAGGAAGAGATACCAGATAACATACTATCTCCGATGACATACGGTATGGGAAATATTTTATTCATTGAATGATCAACCATATTTGGTAACTAACGCAATTAATATCATTATTGTTTTTACCTTTATTAATCTTTAAACAATGCTAAATGCTCAAAATATGTATAATTTCGCTCAATTTATCGCAGTTAGATGAATTAGCGTAAGCCTTGAAATTAACCTTCACCTAGTAGATATATAACATATTAACTGTAAACTAGAACTGCTAAGCATAGACTACTCATTCTAAGGAACAGCCACTCTACTGTATTATTTAGTCACTTACTGATTGGTGTTGAGTGCCTCTGTTAACCAGGCGGCTGCTAGTCCGTATGGGTCAGTTCCTCCGTACAGCTGGTTGAGGAAGAGAGGGTGATGAGTCTTCACACTGTGTTGTATTACTTCTCTCATAGCTTCAACGAGCTTCTCTTCAGTGGAGGCAGCCACCCCTAACTCTTGGAATATCCAAGACTCCTGAAAGATTAAATAGTTATTTGTGTAACTAGTGGGCAAAGTGGCACTTTGCTGCACACGAGAGCAATGGCGAGTGCGGAATGATCTCGAGGTCAGCAAAGGCCTTTTGCACTCGTGCTACACATTATATTTTTCCTACAGTCACTATAAAGCATATAAATAATTAGTCTTTCAAACACTATACAACACGTTTTTAGGTTCAGCTGGCAGCTGGCAGCTGAACTTGAAATACTTTGCTGTCAACTGGACATTGATGTGCTTTGTGTGTTTTAATTGGTTGTTAGAGGCAGAAACTGCATACTACTCTAGAATCAATAGCCTTGACCTTGTATCTTGTTTTTGTCGAAAAACCGCTTGGGGGGGTGTGGCAATTTATATTAATACTAAATGGAACTACTCTTTATTAGACTTAAGTGAGTACTGTGAAGAACTGCATGCAGAATTTACAGGTATAATCATCTCTAACTTGAATCTCATTGTTGTCACCATGTATCACTCGCCTGGTGGTAGTTTTGAACACTTTTTTTATTTACTTGACATGTGTCTAGTTTATTTAACTTCCCTGGGGTTAGATATTATAATCGGCACAGACCACAATGTGAATATACTCAACCATCCAAGTGAGGCCAGTGATTTCAGGAACATTCTCCGCAGCCATGATATATTCTTCAGTGTCAATGAACCAACCCGTGGTCTATCTCCTTTAGACACTGTTCTTACCAATCTTGATAGCTGGAGATGCATGGCCCATGTAAGTGTAGATCAGATATCTGACTACAAACATGTTTTTTTTTCAACTAGATCTACCTGAAGGTGTATCCAAACATGGTCTGCAGGAACCTGACTACTTAAATAATTCTGTCAAAACTGTAACTTACAGACAATTTAATGAAAGTAACTACTGTTACTTTCAATGTGTATTGACTGATCTGGCAGTAAAGTGGCTCTCTGAAATAGAATCATTTAATGCTGAACAATCCTTTGACTATTGATAAGTTTAGAAAAGTTTTTTACTATTGTTTTCCCTTAAGAAATAAAACCTGCAGGACTGTGCCTTTAGCCAAGGCAAATGCTGGGTGCAGTGTAAACAACTGGTACACACCTGAACTCTCTGCCTTTAAGAACTTTATCCTAGGTATCAGTGACTTATGCAAGAGTAACCCACAATTGCTGCCCTACCTCCGTGATCTCAGGAAGCATTATCGTTTGAAGGTAAGGGAGGCGAAGCAATTTGCTACTGCTACTGCCATTGCTACATCTCCAAATGCATGCAAGGCTGCCTGGAACTACATCAATAGGCATAAAACCCCCACTACTGTTCCTGCTAAAGACTTTTGCACTGCTGATGAGTTTAATTCATATTTTCTTGATTCTGTTGATGAATTAATCCTCTCTTGTAAACCTGATCCATCTGTTCCTTATGATTGCCTTAATTCTGTTCCATTTGTTCCCACTAATTTTTCATGGACACCTGTTACTGTTGATAAGCTGCTTAGAGTAGTCAGTAGCTTTAAATCCTCTAAGAGTCAAGATTTTTATAACATGTCTGTTGAGCTTTTAAAAAGATGTATCTATGTAGTTGCGCCAATCATTGTAGATATTGTAAATAAATCTCTGAGAGAAGGAGTCTTTCCTGAGGCTCTGAAGATTAGTAGGACTGTACCTGTGTACAAAAAGGGACCAAAGGACAGTACTATAAGTTACAGACCAATATCTATCATCCCCATCTTTGGTAAGGTGCTTGAAGCAGTCATGTTTGAGCAGCTGTACAGCTACTTTGAGAGGCATCGCCTTATTGTGCCCGCTCAATTTGGCTTCCAAAAAGGAAAGTCCACCGTTCAGGCTGTGGACTGTCTTGTTCAAGAAATCTCAAATGGTCTATAGATTAGAAATTCTACTTCCGTTATAATGTGTGACCTATCCCGCGCTTTTGACTGTGTGTCACATAGTCTCCTGTTGTCAAAGCTCGAAAGGTACGGGGTGAGGCGATGCTCTCTCATTGATTAAATCTTATCTTGAAGGGAGGTCTCAAGCTGTGACTTGGAATGGTAACTCTTCCAGTCCTCTGATGGTGAACAATGGAGTCCCGCAAGGGTCTATTATGGGTCCCTTCCTTTTTGTAATCTCAATTAATGACTTGTATCACAGTGTTGCAGGCAATGTCCTGCTATATGCAGATGATACAACTCTCTTTTCTAGTCACTCAGACTTTTCTGTATCTAAAGTTGCTGTGCAGGAATTATTAGATGTAGCTTCTATCTGGTTTCGCAACAATAAATTATGCCTGAACCAAGCCAAAACTCAAAACATCACTTTCAGTCTTTCTAGGGAACTGAGGGAAGAAAACACTGTAAAGCTGCTGGGCTTCACCCTTGACCCTCAGCTTGATTGGAACGATCATATTGAAATCCTGTGTGGTAAGCTAAGTCGTGTAATCCATTTGCTCAGACGGTTGAAGGCTGACATGCCATTTGAATTTGTTCGACTTGCGTACTTTGCTTTTTTCCATGCTCACATTCTGTATGGCACTAGGCTCTGGGGTCACTCCCCTGGAGTGCAAAAAGTCCTCAAACTACAGAAGAAAGCTGTCAGGGTCTTGTGTGGAGTCCATCAACTGGAGCATTGTAAACCTCTGTTTGTTCAGCATGGTATAATGCCTGTACACAATGTATTTATTTACCAATAATGCCTGTTAGAGATTAAGAACAATGAATCAGCTTTTCCATTGGTTAATAATGTTCATCATTATAGCACTAGGAACAATGAAAACATTTTTAGAGATAGAGTTAGACTAGATTTAACTCTCAACTGTTTTCCTGTTGCAGGAATAAGGTTCTACAATGCCTTACCCATAACTGTCAGACAACTCTTGCCGAACAAGTTTGCAACCACACTAAAAGCTTGGATGCTTGCCAATCCATTTTATTCCATAAAAGAGTTTTGGAATGCACAGCTTGTTACTATTGGGTTGAACCCACACAGTAGTCCAGTAGAGGTATTACAAAATTGTAAATTTATTTTTCTCTGCCTTGCATGGCTTGCAGCATGTAGTTTTCATTTTTTTTATTATTTTTAGTTGCATGCATTGCTTTGCATGTTTTATATTGATTGAGATCCTGCATGTGTTTATTTCAGCTTTTAATTTAATTTTGTTAGTCAAGAGTGCAAGAAGAAGCTTGGCATGTTTATTTATTATTTATTGTTATTGTTTGATGTAGCCTATTGTCTGTATGAACTGAATGGCCAAATAAATCATTTGAATCAACACAAATAGGTGCCCTAGAGAAAGTAGTACCCGGTCCGTATCACTCCGCTATTTTTCCTCGGCAAGAAATGTGCTCCGCGACTTGAGAATAGTTCCGTTTGTTTTAGTAATTTGAAGTGGTTTCCTTGCCAAAAAATAATGCTTTAAACCTTTAAAGCATTATTTTTTGGCAAGGAAACCACTTCAAATTACTAAAACATACGGACGATTTTACAAACGATTACACAGATAGAAAACAAATGATTACGGACAGATAGAAGAAAATACCTATTTTCTTGTTTATTAAGATCGTAGGAATGTTTTAAAAACGTTTAAAAGAAAAGTCCAGGAACTTCAGAAATACCGAAACTATAAACACGAAATGACAGGTTAAATCGTAGTTATAATAGTCAATCAGCTGCTCATAGTATTATTATCTTTAAGTGTTGCCAACCTATTTCCAAGCGTACACGGATTACGTGCATAATAGAACCACGCTGTTTTGTGTTGTTTCGTTGGAATCCTGATGTGTGCCAAAGTATAAACCGTACGACAAAGTATAAATATGCAGCAATTAGCAGCTTTCTGTACTATAAACAGTAGAAGGAAGCCAACTTTGTCGGGTGACTGTAGGAAAAGATATTTATTTAATCATATTATTCTTTGTTCTACAGCAGACTACAATGTGTAGTAAGATGTCAATCATACTATCTATATCTATAAAAGAGGAACTATGTATGTATATATATATGTATATACGTTATGAACTCCATAACCGCTTAACAGATTGTAATGAAACTTTCAGGCATTATTAAACATCTTTCAAGGATGGTTTGTGTGAAGTTTGGCGCAGATCCGTCAAAAGGGCTCCGCCCCAGAGGGTTTTAAGTGAGCCAATGTCAGACCTTTTGAACTACAATGTTTACAAATAAATATGACAAGCTGTTACCAGGCAACTGTTTTGTAGGTTTGAATAATCACAACATGCTGTATTAGTTATGATTTTAAATAGTGCCACAATGTTCCCACAGAAAGCAGCACAGAAAACTATTTTACTTTTGAATAAGTCCAAATGTATTAAACCCCAATCGCAGCAAACCTGTGCACTTAACAACGTTTAAATTCTCCAATGTTAAATGTTAAAAACATAAAAACCTTTATCAAAGTATTATAAACAATAAAAGGGATGACAATGCCTTAATATTTTTATCTTTCCTTCTATACCCACACAATCTAACATAAATTATTAAGTGAATAATAATCGTGCGTGCTATCTCGGGTATTCAAAAGCCTGGCAGCACTGGCTGTAAATCAGCTGGTCAGCTGTTGTACTGTTGTATCATTAAATGTCATATTAAAAGTTCACTTCTGTGTAAAAATATGTCACGTTTCTTTACCAATTTATTTGTTTTATGGTAACTGTAGGAAAAATATAATGTGCAACTCGAGTGCAAAGTGCAATTGCCTCACTCGAGAAACCATTCCTCACTTGCCTACGGCTCGTGAGTAAATATTTCTCTCGAGTGAGTCAATTGCTCCCTTTGCTCACTAGTTGCACAAATAACTATTATCCAAACAGCTGTTCGTTACTTCATAGGTGTCATATTCTCCAAACAGATGAGCATTTCATAAATGATGTATTATATGGTAAACATTAAGAGAAAACTTTACAAAAATCGCACAAAATTGGGTTTTTGAACGTCCGTTATTATATTTCAAAAGTAGTGAGATCATAATTTAATGGCGAAAGACACTC